AGGGGTTGTAGGACTGTCCCCCCTCATCGAATCGAGACAATACGACTCCCTCCCCCCGCCCTTCTACCAATTCTCAGATTTTCCCAAATTCCCCCAACTTTCTGCCACTTTTTCCAAATTCCCGAAAACTTCCCTACCTACTTTTTCCTAAAAACTTTGCTGTGGAGCGGGTGGGGGGGAGGTATATAGTACACATGAAACAGGAAAACGCCAAACCACCATTCCCACCACTCACTAGAAAGTGAACTATCGCACTAGCCAGAAAATAAATACGACTCCCTTCCCTCCCAACAATGAGCAAGTACGACCTCCAACCCCCCCCCCCCCCCCCCCTTTTACAACGTCCGTGAAGCGAGAAAAATCAACTATCAAAATAAATTTTTCTCAGCCCAAATACGACCCCCCTCTCCTGGCGGCCAAATACGACCCCCCCCCTGTTGGGGATTTCCCAACAACGATGTGCCCTGACGGGGACGCAGGGGCGTTTCAGACGGACTGGTTGAGCGCGGTGGCAGCCTTTTCTCTAGGTGTGGAAGCTGACAGGTGACCACAGTTGATGGAGGATAGGTTGGCGCCGCTCCAAACCCAGCCCCCTGAAACACCCCTGCGAACAAGTTTTCGCAGTTCTCGCTTCACATACCCAGTGTAGTGTCAGCGCTGAAGAAAACGTAGAATATGAGTAGGGTTCTTCAAGTACTAATCATGAAACCTATGTGAATTCATCAAGAAAATGAGCAAAGCGCTTGTTATCGATCTTTTTCTAGAAGGAAAGAGACGTTTCATCTTAGCCTCGCAACGGCACGATGACTCACTTCGTGAACCACACTCATGTGTCAGTGGACGATAGCATGAGACATCCTTTTCTGCTAGAGAATTCCGGTGAAACCTATGGATATTCTCGTAACTTCCTATTATAAGTATTATTCACATGAAATTTTGACGAATAAAAAAGAACGTCTGATAATTCAGTCTGGCGTTGAGTATAGATGGGGTTCGTCCGTACGTCCATCAGTTGTTGAGACGGAAAAGTGACAGTATTTGGTGGAAAATTACTGATATGAATGATACGATTCAGTTTCGTCGCTCCAACAAAGAAAAAGAGAACGGGTTGACGCCGCGCCTAACGCGGCCGCGCTGACACGCCCCATCATCCGCAGCGAACAATACTATATCTATACCGTCGGTGCCTCAGAAGACTCCCTATATCCATACCTAGTTTGATAGAGGGATCCATAATCAGTCCGACCTTACTACCTGTTTCACGCTATCGTTAACGTCTGTATGGCTGCTGTACACCGGATCCCTCTATCCCCTTGATGGCTCCGTCTTGACGGTCTGCGATGGGTTCAGTCCGGTCTTCGGAGCTCTAAAATTTGGTTTTCTTCAATCTCTGCAGTTTTCCGTGGAGTTCTTCGCCATCCGTTATCAGGGCGATGCCAACCCGTAGAAGATAGTTCACAGCGCCCACTTCCTCACAGTGAGTTCGTTTGCCATGGTACACAGAGTTAGGAGGAAGAGGATTGGCCTCAGAGCTGATCTCTGGTGCACCTCAGCCGTGATGTCCACCTTCGGCTGTGTTCATACCTCACCACTTCAGCCATTCAGTCGCGCTATTCTGTAACCACGCGGTTGGGAGTACATGCTCCACCGCTAGACGTTGGATGGCTATAATTGCTAGTCCATATACATGCAGGATAGGACTTATTCCGGAATTCGCAGCGGTCCAACGATTAGCGGTGGAGCGCGGTCAGTGGCGGGCTCGAGACGTATGTCGAGAAGTATGAACGCGGCCTTCTCTGTCAAAACTTTGTAGAGCAGCGACTGCCTTAGCCCCATTGTACATGACTTTCGCTATGATCACTAGGCGTTATGAAACGTTCTGTCCTTAGAGCGCCACGCAGATCTCGCCACGACACAGCAAATGGATGGGCGGCGCAGTTTGTCGTCGCACGCGCGCGCCACGCGGGGGCATTTGTTTTAGGATAGTGGCTAGACGATCTTACTTCAGCTTCACAAGAGTTCACAAGTTTTACCAGAGTGAGATTTGTAAACCGGAACTAGGGAAGCAATGATAATACAAAATGCCCCCTCGTCGACAAACAGCGCCTGGATGGGCCACACCGTGATCCCCAGGCGCATCGAGTCCTTCAATTGGCTCTTCATCTGGACCAGCTGTCTTCGCAATCATCGACGGCTCTTCTTCTCAACGAACCCCATCCCCTACTCAGCATACGATAAGGTCGACGGTCGCTTTTAGTTCTGCGCGGCTCATGGCCATGGTTTTTCGCTGAAAGGCTTTCTGAAGTACTCTTCCCGATTCCTCTTGACTTCTACCGGATTCCCAGCAACGGCACCATCTCAGCATGGAAGCACCACCATAATTGCATTTCAAAATGAAGAAGCGTTGTCTTACAATATGATACAAACACCGTGCAAGACTGAGAGCATCCAATCCTGCACGTCAACCATTCACTTCTGAGGCAGCAAATTAGATAAAGAAACATTTTATTTTGGAACATCACAAGATGTCATTCAGATTTTTGAAAAGCTAGTGAAAAAAATTGGGCCATAGAAACGCGTAGTGCCCGGATATGAATCCGTAACGCCCGTGGTGGCATACAGTATAAAGTATATGTGCATGTATAAATTAAAACCTGTAGATGAAAATGAGACCTATAAAAGATACGCATCATTTGCGTGTTAGTCACCTGCACATGGTAGTAATCGGGAACAGCAACTGCAAACAATAATATACCAATAGGGCCACAGTGGTTGGGTCAGAGGCAAAGACAGGAACTTGAAACTTCACATCGATTGCTGAACATAGTAAGAAATTCGTATATACAACTAGAAGAAATCATTATGCCTCATTGAACGTGGTAGTCAAACAACATACCATTCATGCACATAACTAGTTGAAGGTTACAAAAGAAAAAGGCGAAATAATCACAATGACAAATCAATTCTTAAGTTTCTTCGTCCTCTAGACGAAATAACTACAAAAATGACCAGTGATGTTAATAGCTTTCAAAAAACGAAAAGTAACAGCAAAGTAGAAACAGCACAGAACCGAGTTATGGACCGATAATGGAAGACCCCCGAGGGTAGAAAGCTCATTAATATTTCCTAACGAAATATTAGTATTCAAAAAGGATACATTTAAAGCGTCTATGACTTCACCACACAACACATCTTCCCAATCATTTCTTCTTCTTGCTCTCATCGAAGAACGTGCGAAAACGATCTTGAAAGAAGAGTTCGAGCTGCTCGGCGCACTGAAACCGTTACACAGTTGACTTCATTTTAAGGACAGTCTCCCACTCAACCAATTGCTAGGGTCTTTCCTTGTTCAAGTATCTGGCCCGCAGCCTCTGATATTGTCCCTTTTTCGCGGTTTCACAGCAAGCAACAAAGGCCCTCATAAGTGGCAGTTTTGACGCCTGCCTAGTTGCCCCGCCCAACAGAACTCTAAGGCT